TTCTTTCTTTTTCCAAAAGGTAATTAATACTAGATTCTATCTTTATTCTGTATCCTGATTCTAATAGATCTGAAAAAATTTTCATTTGTGATTTTTAAAAATAGAGCATCCTGGTTTTAAGTCATGGTTTTCAAAGAGTCTAACAATTTTCAAATTAACTCTCCTTGACCTGTTTTCCGAGTCAGTTCCTTTTGATATCAGATATATTATTTTCTTCCAATTTTCTTTTGATTGTCTTAATATTTCTTCTCTCATGGGATTGGAGATTTCTGTTTTGTCTAGTCTTCAGGGATTCCTTAAGGTAAGGTTTTTCATCTTCTCTTTGATGTGATTTGTTCTTATTCTTTTTCCTCATTTTTATTTTTTTAACCTCTTGCTTCATTTATTCTAGGTGTTCACACAGTCCTTGTGGAGAATTCTGTCTTTGTAGTGATTACTCTCTCTCTTCTCTCCTTTTTAGCAGTCTTTTAGTTCTACAATAATCTTTTATACTTACAGGGGTTGGCATACTCATCTCTCTAGTAACAGTGTCTAAACTGAGGCTCTGTCCTAGTGCCAGTAGATACGATGGTTGGGCCTGCTTGGCCTCTCCTGGCTCACCTGGGTCCCTGCACTAGTCTTCACGTCCCAGGGTGTTTGGTGATTGCTTCTATCCTTTGCTTTAAGAATTTTCCTACCCATTTTGTACAAGTTTTCTCCTATTCTCCTCTAATTTGTTTTATGATGTGTTATTTTAGGTTTAGGTAATCTACCCATTTGGAGCTTATTATGGTATATGTTAAGCTCCAAATAGATATCAGATAGATGCAGCTGGTGGTTCAGTGGATAGAACACTGGGCCCGAAGTCCGGAAGACATGAGTTCAAAAGCAGCCTCAGATACTTCTTAGCTGTATGACCCTGGGGAAGTCACTTAATCTCTAATTGCCTGATGAAATGGATCTACTGGAGAAGGAAATGGCAAGCCACTCCAGTATTTTTACCATAAAACCCCAAACGGGATCATGAGGGATCCAACATGACTGAAAAATATGGTCTATCTTATGTTAATTTAAACCTAATTTCTGCTAGATTGCTTTCCTGTTTTTCCAGCATTTTTTTTGGTCAATTACCAGTTGTCAATAACCTTGGGTTTATGTAACACTAAGCTAATACATTCAGTTGCCTCTGGATCTAACCTATTGTTACACTGATCAAATTTTCTTGCTTTAAACTGGCACCAAATAGTAGAGCCTGCATTCTGCTAATGCCATGCCCCTTCAACTCTACCTTTTTCATTATCTCCCTTGAGATTCTTGCCCTTCTCTAGAGTAATTTCTTTATCGTGTCTAGTTCTATAAAGTGACCCCTTGGTAATATGATCAGTATAGTACTAAATATGTAAATTAATTTAGGTAGTATTTTCATTGGATTAGGATGACTCAATATCTTTTATTTCTGTAAAGGGTATTTTGTAGTTGTCCTTAGTGTGTACTTAAGTCTTTTCAGTAAGAATGACTGATTTTTTAATGAATCTTCCCTTAATATTTTACTAGGTTATTGAAAGGATAAAATAACAAATGTATGTTTGTACATGGTGGGAGGAGGAGAAAGAGAAGGGGAACAACATAATTATTGCAAAATTAGAACTGAGAATCCACTTGTCTGCTCCTCTATGAAGCTTTAGTACTGAAAGACTTTTGGGATATCCTGTATATAGGAATGGTGTACATCCTAGCAGGGTTTTCCCAACTCTGAAATTCTAAGGAAAGCACAAAATCCTGGCATCCATCTGACAAGCAGAGCCTCAGATGACCTTATCTCAGAGCCAGTCAGTCCTCTTCTCCCCTATTAGTAACGGCAGGGCACCACAGTTTCCAAGTTTAGGATAGCATAACGATCAGCACCGAGGGAAAACAGAGCCAAGGTGGCTTGAGTAGAGAATAAAAGGAGAGTCAGATCATGAGTTTAAGGAGAGGCTGGCTTAACTGGTTGTTAAAAAAAGATTCTAATAAATATTGATAAACATCAGATGAGTAGTCAAAAGGCAGCAAAATGGAGCTAAAGGAGAGGGGAAAGGCCCCTCAGAATTCCATGGAGAAGGTCTTTTTTGTTTGTTTTTAAATAACCAGAGGCAGGGCTGTGAAAAACACAATTCTCCCTGGGATATGTGGGCTGAGCTCCAGGAGCTCGGCCAAGAGCTGCGAACCTGAGCTGCTTGTTTAAAGGGGTAGGGGAGCCAAGTAAAGCTGACAAGAGGCTGAACCAGTCATTCCTGAAACTCCAGGGAAAGACCTGCCCATCGGGGCACCCCCCCCCCCCCCGCATTAAGCAATGGTGTCCAGCTGGGTCAAAAGCTGCTTGAAGCAAGGAAAGAGAAAGCTTCCCCCACGCAGAGAAAAGGCTGAAGGTAAAGGTTAACTTTTGCCCTGCCACATTGAGGGGGAGGGCAGGTAGGCGGCTCGGTGTGAACTCTTTCAGTGGGCCAGGCTGTAACCCCAAAGTTCATAAGAGCCATTCATTCATAGTCTCCTTAGTTTCTTGGGAGCCTCCTAGTATCAGTCATCACTCTCTGACCAGTGAGTCCATCATCTACTTTGAACATTCAATTTTCAAAGCCCAATTCAATTCACTGAGTATTAGATGTCTACTCTTGTGTGGTCATTTACAAGATTAGGGGAGGGGAATCCAGTGAACCTGAGTCCCTACCCTCAAGGAGCTTACCTTTGGCTAAGGGAACAAACACATTTACAGATAACAAAACACAAGGTGATTTCAGAAGGGAAGAGAATACTAAAGGAATCATGATTCAACCAGAGCCACTCCCAAGAAATTGGGAATACTCTTTCACTCCCGATATCATAACTGAGCGCGCGCGCACACACACACACACACACACACACACACACACACACACAGAGTCCTTCCCTGTCCTTTGACTCACTTGGAAAATGTTTTTTAACAAATCGGTTGCTCAGGAAGTAGCTGAGTGGGACACCTTGGGCTGGTTATTTATCAAGGGAATTTCCTTGTACACCCTACCGTGTATAAAGTTATTCCCCTTCTGGTTCTCCGCCCTTAACCCAGTCAAAGCAGTGCTGTTCCTACTCTATCTCAAAAACACACCAAAGCCATCTTCCTCGAATCTGACTTGAAGCTTCCTAAACCTACGAGAAGCAAAAGTACTACCACTGACTTGCACAATAATAACCGCAGAACCAAGCAACCTCATGATTTTTAAACTTCATTTTAAATTATGAGGAACAGATGTCCAACATTGCAAAAGCGGTGGATAACCTGTGGATCTGGCTGACGAGCCTCCCTCTATGCTGTTTTATTCCTGTTTCCGCAACTGGCTGCTTCCCATTCCTATCGACTTCCCTTTCTCTGAGCTGAGGCTTAGGATAGCATCCTCTTCATCCCTCTAATCCAACAGTTCTTAAGGAATCAAGTATGTCTGGTTGGAGGGTGGGGGCAATTTAAAAAATTTTGACTCATCATGTGTCAACAACCACAAAACAAACTGTCCAAGGCTACTGGGTCAAAAGGAATGAGAAAATGGTTGGCACATAACTGCCACAAAGCACAAAGCGTTTCTAAAGAGATGAGTAAGCAGCCGCCCAGGAAAGGTTTTTTCCTCCAATCCCTCCTAGGAACATTGTAAGAATATGCAAATACATGCAGGTTATTTGTTTAAATCCAATGTTTTACCAAACAAGGCAAACCAGCTATCTTAACTAGAATTTTTATTTATTTATTTTTGTGGAGAAGCAGGAGAAAGGACCTTATCTGACCATCTCACAATGTTTTCTCTTTAAATTGCTTCTACGGAGCTGAATTAAGAAATACTTACCATTGGAAACTCAGAACTTTCCTAAAAGGAGGTTGTAAACAAGAATTGGATCTACCTGCTCTAGGGAGCAGAGGAGGATATTAAATCTCTGTGGTTGTACAGTGATGTCCAACTCTTTGTGACCCCATTTGGGATCTTCTTGGCAAAGATATCGAAATTTTTTGTCATTTCCTTCTCAGGCTCATTTTATAGTTGAAGAAACTTTGGCCAACAGGTTTAAGTAATTTGCCCAGGGTTACATAGCTAGTAAGGATCTGAGGCCAGATCTGAACTCAGGAAGTCTTCCTGACTCTAGGCCTGGTGCTCTATCCACTGCATCACCTAGCTACCCTAGTAAGTCTCTAGCCTATGTGCACAGGCAGGACCCACTGGCTCTTAAGTATCATAATTTGGGTTCCTGAAAGAGGTGTTTTAAATGGATTTGTCCCTCAAGAATCAATACTTTTCTTCTTGGTCTATCACTTCCTTGTACACAATACACAGCCTCTGGCCCAATCTCATCTTCTAGGGATATGCTAGAAAAATCACACCATTTTATGTGTTGAGTTCAAGTCTACAAAGGTTGCTATTCTGTTGTCTTTCAAACTTTTAGGAATATATGCAAATGATTTGGTTTACATTTGGCACTCTTTGGACCAGGCCAGTGGAAGGCAAAATAAAGGAAAATTCAACTCTCACACTGGGAACCTGTAAGAGTACTAGATAGGAATTTATCTCAAAATGTGTTTTCATGAGTTTTTGTGACTGATATGTCCCCAAAAAGTTGAATCCTCACAAAAGTCCAATTCCTTAGGAAGTCTTTCTTACAATGCCACCTCCCCCTCACTATTCATCTACTCTATGCCTTTTGTCTGTCCCCATTTATTTACATGGTGTTTCCCCCATTACAATGTGAGCTGTTTTTTGTTTATGAATCTTAAGAGCTTAGCACAGTGTTTTTAATAAGTGCTTGTTGACTAACAGTATTTTTCTATAAGTGACTTCTGCTGCATTGGAAGATGGGATGTTATTCTCTGTGAGGATATTTCTCTGATGTGTCGTTTTAATACTTAACATGTCTTAACATGACATGACTCAGACACTTGGGGCATGAACAGAAATTTGATGCATGGAAAAGAACAGGAATGGAACAGACTTGATATGAATGAGTCACAAACAAATTCCCACAGATACTGACAAGTTCTTATTTTAATTTGTACAGATATAAAGACATCCATTTGTAAACCCATTCTTCCCACTAAGTCAGGCACCACTCATACACAGAAATCCTCCACTGCTTGCTAAGAAAGAAAATCCAGGGACCACTTTTAATTTGTCTACTTTAGTGGACACAGGGACATCTGATTATTTACAGATGATTATGCAGGCAGCAGCTATTGCATTCAAGATTGATTCATTTGGATTATCCATAAGCTGAATCATCTAACAGTTTCCATGCAGGTCTAGAAAACAGAAAGTTGTCACTACAGAATTCACCTCAAACCCCCCACTGATGTGTATAAATGCAAATGGCATGATTTCTTGCCTTCTGAAAGCACACTCAAAATTCAGATGAATGAGACTTCAAGGGCTAGAAAATGTTTTAGTAAAGAAAAAAACTACCAGAAAACCCAAGTCACTCTGAAGAACAGGCTTATTAACAGAGTCACCAAACTCTGAAATGTAAATCAAACAATGGATCAAACCTGTAAATCAAACCTGGAAAGTAACAACAAAAATCCAAATCTTCACTTTTATAGATAAAAGTTGAATCCCTATTGTTATGTGACTTTGGAAAGGTCTTTAACCTCTCTCTGGCCCTCAGTGATCTGACATTACAGTTCTGCTCAACTGCTCTTTCTAGTTCCCATGTGGAGTCATGATATCCCTTTGGATCGAGTTCTTTAGTGCACCAGAAGATCTCTTTAAGACCCAATGCAAAATTACACTTTTAAAAAATTCCTTGAGGGGGTGGAGGAGGAGGGAAACATGCACAATAAGAAAGCAATAGCCCTTCTAAAACCACAAACTTAATTTTGGATATTCAAAAAAGAAGCTATCTTTTTGCATAACAAACCTTTTAACTTATTTACTGAGTTGGGTCATGGAAGATAATATCAAAAATCTTCCAAATCTGTCTCCCTTTATGCTGCTCCACTGTGGCACCAAAATGTTGCCATGTACTCAAGTCCTGGATTTAAACCATGATGCTGGTTGATGTTTGAATGGGAACAAAGTTTGATGTGGATGGTCTGATGAAAGATACCAAAATGTCAGACAGCCCATCGACTGCTGTTGCCATGAGATCCAACAGTCAACATCAGTCTGATAAGCTATCCGACAGGATGGTACAGCCATGGAGATGTCACGGACGACGATAGGTACAAAGTGGATATTCAAGCAGGATTTGATGGAACATACATAAACCAATATCACTTGAAATGAGCCTGAGGGAAAATGTGACCTGTCGGCTTGGTTAAAACCCAAATTCTGTTCTAAACAAATACTCCAGATTGTTTTTCCTAAAGGAAAAAAGAATGATCATTTCCCTCAAAGGTAATATGAAAGGACCAGGTCTCATCTGCCAGAAATCTCTGGAAGCAACATCATACAAATCGAAATAACTAGAGGAGGGAACAACTTCATGGTTGTTAGAATCAGAGCTTATGTAACTTTAAAAAAATCATAGTATAAGTGTGACATTTTAAAAAAATGAAATAATTCCTCTTATATGGTCTGATATCATGAAAGTAAATCATGCCTGTTAAACCTGACACCTTTTTCTATTTAAGTAAATCAACAGACAACTATTTCCCAAACTGCCAACCAAGATTCTTTGCAAGGCAAAGTTCCTAATTTGAGCAACATTCTTCTGGCCTACAATTTAAAATACAAAAGGTATCAAAGCACTGGGTTTTTCTCTTGGGTTAGTTGGAGATATCAGACACAGAGATTGCAGGCAGGACAAGGCAGCCAGTCAAGTGGTAAAAGCTAAAAGACAGTGAAAAAAAAACACTCAAGAAGACAGACACATTTCTGGAATGATTAAAGATGACTTTATAAAGTTTTTTTCTTTTTTGGTGACTTCATTCTAAATATACAGAATAAAAAATGGTGCCAGCTCATTTATGAGGCACCAGCCAGATTTTGTTTACACTGTCTTAAAATGTAAAAGGCACCCCAAAGGTGTGCAATGCATCATAAAATGACATTTTTTTTTTCTGATTGGGTGAGGAGGGAGGGCTGGGCAGGATGGAATATGAAATATCATCATGACAGACATGCAAGACTGTTATCCAATCTATTATCATTTATATACATTTTGATGATTTAGAAAAAGAAAATGTCCACTTACGCCAAGCCAAATAAACTTAATATAAAAAATTTTTTTTGAGGGAGGTGGCTTGAAGTCTCTAATTATACGCCGTGCATTAATTTTGGAAGTAACTTAAAATGAAAGTAAATGCCACACACCATCCAACTCAGAAAACCCAACTCAGACTGAATTAAGAAGACTATATATATACCTTACCTTTACATAAAAATCTGTCAATGAAAAGTATGGACTAATTGCTTTCAAAAACAAAATTTTTCTTCACTCCCCCCGCCCCGGAAAAAATTATTGGTTTGGAAAATGGTTGAAAATAGTAAAATTTGTAAATTGTAAACCATTTCCCTGTTTACAATAGTGCCAATTTAAGTAGACCCCATCAATTATAGTTTCTGTGAATGAGCTTGTTAAATTGTATCTCTTGGTCTCATTTGGTTTTTTCCTCTGAGTACATTTGCTGCTGGATTCGCTTGGCATAGCTTTGTGCCATGGAATTGATGATGGATAGGATGAAGTAGCACACCATGACAATGACTAGGTTTTCAAACATCCAGGATAACCAGTTTGCCCCCTGTAGGAATACACACAGAAAAAAAAAGCAAGAAAATCCTTGTTAGTAGTAGTGGAGGGCAACAGAAAAAGAGTAAGAACTCTGAGCCAACCTTTCTATAATCATGACCACTGGAGCAACCTGAAGTAGGAACAGATACTAACTCATTACCCCTCCTGGGCTTGTGTCTACATGATCACTATTTAGGCCTTCTTATACCCAAAGTGACTGGCAAGGCCCTGAGCCTAAAAAGGCCTACGATGACCAGCAGCCACATGGCCAAAACCTTAATTCTGCTTGTATTAACTTGTTATTGGGTTGGGAATAAGCCAAGTGTGATGTCATTTTGTGTCATTCACTAAGCAAATAAGTCGCCATTACTTTTACGTAGAATAGTTCAATAATAATGGAGTATCTGCAACTATAAAATTGAGGAGATTGTAGGGTTTTGCTCTTCAACATTTCTTTCCCAGTAAAATGCTCAAGTAGACTTTTAAAAATATACTTTAAAATATCTAGTTCTGTCGAGTGAGGGCAGCAAAGGACAACATGATGATCCCTTCAGATGCATTAAATACAAGTTTTTTTCCTCATTTCTAGTTCCTGTTCTGTTCAGTCATCCTCTTTTATAAGAAGTTGGGCTTTTTCCTTCTAAGAATCACCAGTGTGGTTCTAGAAGCCAAAGATCAGAATCTGGCAGAGCTTTATGATTTATATTATAATCAAGGACTTGGTAAATTAAAAATCTTTACTGCTTCCTTGTCAGCCAAGGAGAACATTAAAAATAAAACGAGCCATTTTTATTAGTGATAAGTTATATTCAACACATTACTACCCAAGGTGTGGATTTGTGTAATGTATTCAGAAAGTCTAAGACTTAAAAAAAAACACAAATAGTTCTACTAGAAACAATACTAATTTACATATTAAGAGCAATCATAAATTCAAAATTCAGTTTGTCAAGAAACCTATATGAGATAATAGGAATTCCTAACCTAGTTTTAGGCAAAGACGCCCCATACTAATTACTCTGAAACAAGCAAGTAATTTTTTCAGTTTAAGAAAGATTCAAATTTTCTCCTTCCTATTAAGGAAGAAGCATTAAATGCCAAGTTCTGATTAAAAATGCTTTGGCAGAGGTAAAGAGAAGGGAATGATTTGAAAATCTCACCTGCGGCATACCCTCCTCTGTCTTGTGGTGAAGCTTCTGTCGCTGAGCCTCCAAATACTCTTGGAAAGGTTTCTGCAGAGAAGGACCTAGACTGGGGACAGCCCTGGAGATAGGGGACAGCCCATGGAAAGGAAAACATTTGGGAAGAAAGCAGAAAAAGAATTTTTAAAGATCCGCTCTACTTACCACCCAGGTTTAAAAAGATCAAAGGAAGGAAAAATGAAAACCATAAAACATAGAAGAAAGATGAGTTGAGAAAAGCCAAGATACAAAGAGCTGGTTCTACAATCTATAATCTTTCTGGAGAAGAAAACGCCTTCCTTCTAGCTTCCCTTCCCCACAAAAAGGGGTGAGAAAAACTGCTCCCAGCAAAACTGATTGTGAGAAAGAAGGAAATGCACACTGGGAGCACATTCTAGTCTAGTCTAACACTGTTCCTGCTGTTTCCTGAGAGAGAGAGAGAGAGAGAGAGAGAGAGAGAGAGAGAGAGAGAGAGAGAGAGAGAGAGAGAGAGAGAAAATCAACTGAAGCTCCTGGCTGCTGTGGTACTGAGAATAAAATGAATGACTTCTGAGAAGCCTCACATTTATCACCACCAGTTCCTGTAAGAACTGGTTTGAACCGATTAATAAGGAAATGACTTATGCTTGTGTCATCCTCAGTTAAAAAAGAAACTGCCCGCCCTCTCTCAGACTTGCCCCATCTTCTTAGAGGGGGCGGCCCTTTTCTCAAACTAAGTCCTTATTAGGACAATCTGTGCGTCATCCTTATTCAAAAAGAATGCATTAGCAAATTTGGGAGGCACCTCCCACTAGTCAGAAGTCAGTCATTAACAAAGGAACAAAGAAGGAACTATGAACCTTGAATCACTCCATGCTTTATGGTGGATGATTTGCACAGAAACTACAGTACATTGCTAAACACCTTGTTCTGAGATGACTGGGATAGTGATCACCGATAAGTTTATGTACTCTGAGCTCCCTCTCACCCATAATATGTGGAAGCAGTGCTGCTAAACCGGTTTAGCAACTATAGCTACCCAGTTCCTATTTAGTACATGCTTGAGGGCATTTTTAAAATGGTAACTTGGGGTCACTCGGAATATAAAATATTCCTTTCTTTTCCACTCCCCCTCTTTTGGTTTCCAAGACAAAAATAACCTTTCCCTTTCCAGAGGAATAGGCATTCCATTATACATTTAAACAGAATGTCCAGTGCTCTCCCATCTGGACATTCTTAGTAGAAGTATCCCTTATTTTCTAGACAATTAACCAAAAGGTGTGGAAATTAGACATGACTAGCTGTATTTCATCTAAGAGGGAGAAAAAAAGCCCTTTGCTACCACTGACCAAAAGGCAACACATTTCTAACAATTCTCTTAATCCTGTGCTTACTTCTTCTTTGATCTATACCTACTATCAAACAATAAGTATTTACTGAGCTTCTACTATGTGCCTGGCACTATCGTGCTTTGAGAGACTGAAAAATTGAGAAAGACACAATCTCTGCCTATAAGGAGAATTCAGACTGGAAATTTTGTTGGGGGAGATAAGCCACATTCACACGAAGCATTTCACGAACAAGACATTATGTAACATAGTTCTGAGCAGTACTGTATAGGTAAAGAGGTGTGGGGAGCATACAAGGTGCTGTTTAGCATTGACAACAAATGCAGATAGAATTTGAGAAGGTGGAACTTTGAATGGATGGATGGAAGGTGGAACTTTCTCAGAAGGAGAAAGAGCATTTATAAGGAAGGTGAAGAGAATAGCAAAGCCAAGGGATGGAAGGGGCAGTGGCCTGCGTGTGTGTGTGTGTGTGTGTGTGTGTGTGTGGTGTGTATGTGTGTAAATAACCAACAGAAGATTGTGTGCTGATTCATTCACTTATTCTCTTTTCTGTCCCCCTTGGACAGTAGCTTTTAAACCCTCCTTCCATTCAGTTAGCTACAACAGAAGAGGACATAATCTGACTGAGATGATCTGCTCCTTTATCAGCAGTAACTCTTATTACAATGACAGAAACTGTATGACTTTTCCTTCTAAGAGGGTATATTTTTCCTCGGGTGAATCAAGTAATGGAAAACAACCCTTCCTTAAATAATAATGCTTGTGGGACTCCAACAGCTCATTAGTTTACACATAAGAACAAACACACATATGAAAAAGTAATTCCAACAAAATACATGTATAAATGACTTTGAAAAACTGAGCCCTGTAAGGATTTCCTTTGGGAGCTGATTCACTGGCTTAAAAAAAAATCCTACTGAATGACTCGCAGGCGGAGTCGTTCTAAACTTTGGGGAAACCCAGAGGAAGGAGATCATTTAAGGAGAAAATTATAAACCAAGACTGAATGCTAGGAAAGGTAAAATTATCAAATAGACTTCTTTTTTTTTGGGGGGGGAAGGTGGGGAGACCACACTAGGGAGATAGAAGGAAAAGTACACAGAATGGATAAAAATCATTTAAAAAATAGGGCTAAGTACAATGTTTTACCACATCCAGAGCTATATTAAAGTGTGGCATTCACAGAACATTTTAGAAACATTTGGAAGAAACATATTGGGCCCAAAAATAATTAAATTTTCATGCCAGGGGTACTGTATATGATTCTTTTTGGGGAGAGGGTAGGTTATTTTAAAAATTCTGGAAAAACCCCTTAAACTCCTAACTTAAAGCTTTCTTGTTAAGTTAATAGCCAAATCTTCAATACATAAATCTAGAAAGAATGAACTGAAATGTCTACTTAAGCTATTAGTTGTTGACTAACTTCATACACTATTTCACCTTGCTGATCCCCTTAATCCCTTGGTTAAAATTAGCTAAATAATTTAACACTGAAGCTGATTACTCTCATTTTTCATGATCTTCTCCCTACAAACAACTTGAGTTAAATTCCTTAGTATATCAGCAGCACTTCTGCATCGATGTTTTCTTCATTATTTTAAAAGCTATTTTACTAATAGTCTAAAATTACATTATATTACATTAAAATTACATTAAAATAGCCTAAAATTACAGCCCCCACTCCTAAGGTGTTATTTAGGCAAACAATATACTCATTCTCAACCTCTTCCTTCCAAAGTGATTGTGAAGCAGCAAATGGAAGCTGAACTGAATAGAAGGATTTTAGGGGTTATGGCTTTAAGACTAACTGAGAGTAGAAGTTGAGTTTGCTTATAAGTAATTTCTATCAGGTTGCTGTTTGAAGTTGGTTTAGGGTATAGTTCAAGTGACATTCTCTAGGGAACCTTGAACGTGTCCGCTAGGGATGAGAAGACAACCCGCCTTATTACATGTGGGTGAGTTAAACCCTGTATCTGTCATCAAGAGGCGGTTCTGAGACAAGGAAGAAACATACAGTCTGGAGAAAGACACACACAGAACTATTTTTTGGTTATATGTTATACTAAAAATACACTTAAGCCACCCTTGCAAATGACCACTTGCCCTGGAAAAGCAACAATTAAGGAATGAGCAGGTTTGATTTAATTTATTTTATTCCCCATGTACCTTCCTAGGCTAGGAAAATATCTTTCAGATTAGTAAATTTTTAGTTTGGGCTTAACTAACCATGTTTGATAAATTTACCTCCCTCAGTAAATATTCCTCTAGTTAAGTATTACAATGGTTATTCTTGACTATTTTTTTAATCTTAAATTTTTAAAAATCTCAATCACCACCACTAGACACCCAAATACAACATATAGGGCTTAAATCTGGGAAAATGTTTTTTTTTCCTCATGCCTAACACCTAATTATCTGATAAAACAAATTAAAAAACAAGACTTCCGTGGAAACATTTAGGCTCTGTGATATTGATATGAAGTGATCTTTGGGAAGAATACTGTAATTCTTCAAGAGGTCCACCCATTTTCGAACTTTGTCTACTGCTGCTCAGGGGTTTTTTTTGTTTTTGTTTTAGGCAATTGGGATTAAGGGACTTGCCCAGGGTCACACAGCTAGTAAGTGTCAATTGTTCGGTCTGAGGCTGGATTTGAACTCAGGTCCTCCTGACTCCAAGGCTGGTGCTCTAACCACTGCACCATCTAGGTGCCCCGTCTTGCTCAGGTTTTTGATACATACTACCCTCTGCTTGTGGAAAACTGTCCTCAGATACGGAAAATTCATTGTTACAAACTCTTTCCATAGTTGCTAATTGTTACTTAAAGCTTACATTATTCTTCATGCCCAGGAAAGGCTGAAAATCTTCCTGAGAACTATTCACAATTGGCAGAGGTTGCATGGTGAGTGGGTGGAGTGATTAACTACTTGTGTTTTTCACAATGCTTAATTTTTCATTCATTTTTTAATCCCAAGTACACACCCAATCCAAGTATGCCTAGAATTCATGGTTACTATTATTTCTATTTTTTTCAAGAAACTTTTCTTGGCTCTTATGTATTCACTTGGTATTTAAAAAATAACAACAAGAAACCATCACAACCTCAATCTGAACCTCTTTCTTGGAGTAAAGATATCAGTCAATATGTTGCAGAAGTCTCCTTGGATTTGTTTAGATTTGTTAGATTCAGTTTGGATTTTTCTGACAGGTTTGAGCTTTATGCCAGTGAACGTCCCATAAAACACAGGGAACAGTCCTTACTAAGAAAACACAGTGAATTCTGATGTTTGCTTACTCTTTTTTTTTTACTTCCCAGAGTAGAAGCACTTAAAAATACCTCCCCCACCCCCCATTTCAAAGGTGTTTATAAAGGTAGAACAATTAAAATGTCTAAGATAAAGACGCAATACAGGCACAAATAAAACAACTTCTCTTGAATGCAAGCTTTGCTCTGACTCTGCTAACAGCTCTTCAAAATACTAGGGTATCAATCAATATTGTCAGACAAACTACAATGGTTTTCCTGAAAAGATGTTCCATAGGATACGTCTGCGTCAATTCAAAGAAAGGCTAAGTCTGTCTTTTCTATTCTACAGAAAAGTCATCATAGCGTCATCACAAATTAGAACTAGAAGAGACCTTGGAGGCTCTCTAGTCCAACGCGTCACCTTACAAAGAGTACACGGAAGCCTGGACGGGCTAAAATATTTGCCCCATGCTATACATGTAACAAAGCTGAATCAAAGCAGAGGACTC